GTTGACATGTAATGCAGAGGTATCCAGGTCTGACTTTTTTGCGGCCATCGCCCCACAAAAGTAGTTAGCTCTTTTCGAACAAAATACACAGTTAATAGTTAGCACTAGTGTTCGCGTAAACAGACTAAAGTTAGGTATAAGCTAACGTCACTCCCTGCAGGGTGCATTTGATTTCAACTACTTTGAAATGCATTTGGCTTAAAGTAATGCAAATGTAAGTAAAGTAATGTTTCTTTTACAGATGACTTTTCATGCTGAAATAATTAAGTAATATGTAACTATTTGCTAAGATATGCATAAAAAGTTTAAGCATTTGGTTTATCTAAATGAAGCTGCTAGGTGTTTATACATTAATTTGAGGTTAGTTGCTGCATAAGTAGAAATAAACTAATTTTTCTACTGGGTTGCGACAAAATCAATATTATTTCTTACAAAAATAATTTCTTGCATTGCATCTACTTTAAGCTCGTCCCATGAATGCAAATATCAATTTTTCTCAAAAATTCTTTTCAGATTTGGCTAGTTGTACATTTTGCCATGAATCCGCGCAATTGCTTTTTCAATTGCTTTTTCAGAACTCGCTAATCCATTTTTACTACTTTTGGAAGCTGTAGTCCCATTGTGCGACAGTTTGTAGAGACCTGCAGGGAAAGCTACTAATTGTGAACTAGAATTCTACCAGTTTGCTTTTCAGCCCAACTAGGTCACGTTTTATCCTTTTTAAATGTTAGCGACTGGTATTTTTAATATGGCGATGTTCTACGAGATGTCAATTGTCAGGCTATGCATCAGCTTCTACTAGTGGAAATACTAGTATCATCATATCAGTTGATGAGATAGTCTGCCAATTCATCCCCCGTGAAAAGCATATGTGTGCAATTTTGCTCGCGGCGCTCCAACAGTCTCATTGGCCGACAGAGCAAAGCACTTACGTGGTAGTCCTGAGGTTCAAGGTTCAATTCCTGGCGCAGGGGAATTGTTTTTTTATGCTTTTATGCGTTTTTTAATTTTATTTTTATTTTTTATTATTTACTTTTTATTTGGGGTTTTCGTTTTAATTCCTAAAGTTTTTTAAAAAAAAGAATATTAACTCTGTTTTTTATGGCACAAGTATTCCTTTCCATATGTATGTTTTTTCTGGAATGGAATTAGAATTTCAAATTTGTTATTTATATATAAATTGAAATAATTATATTGACTCACATTAATTTAGTTTGAAAAATATTAAACATCACCAAGCGGACCCGAACCTGCGATCTCAGAACTAGAACCGGTAGTCATCACGCGCCCCACAGCCGAAAGGAATTAACCCAACCAGCAGGGAAATGTAAATTTTGTCGACAGTCCAGCCTAGTACAATTTTCCGTATCCGGAAACGAATAGAAAACGACTACAGTTATCATTCATTATCGTATCCGGAAAACGTTCGAAAAAGATGATGTTATTTGAAAGCAATAATTGTATTTCATTTGTTTAAGCTAAACATTTGAAAGTGTACATGCGTAGTCGGCAGTGGCTATTTAAGCGTGCAAAGGAGCGTGCCGCTATTTGTTAGCTTACAGAAGGTGCCGGGTTTGAATTGCGTCAGGCGCTTCCTTACTTAAATTTTTTTTTTGATTACGAAAAAGTATCTGTGAAGTGCAGAATTAAAGCGATACCATATTATTATAAACAAATAATAAAAATTAAAATATATTAAGATAACTGGCGAAATCTTGTCATTATTCGAGTGTCGTAAAATTATGATAATCACTATATTTATGTCGAATCGATCTCTCTGATACTACTTTTGTTTATTTCCGCGGTGAACGTAGAAAATTTCACTTTCAACTGTATAACCAGTAAATAAGTAAAAATAATTTTTTACCAAAGGTCCTATTTCGAACTTCGAAAGCCCATATCTCGATTTCGGAGGCTAACTTTGAAAAAAGGAGAAATTACTTCTTTACTTATGACTAAATCTCTTAAAAAAAATTGTTTAACTTGAACAGCTTAGCACACAGCTAAAAGTTCAAACTCAAGTGAAATTTGACATACGTTTTCCATGAATTAAAATTTTCAAAAGCATCCATTCATTTTTTATTCTGGCAATGATATTTCACGATATTTAGGCAAATTTAAATATTTTCGGATTAAAAATATCTCACTCATCATTTTTTACCAGGGACGTGAACCGGATGAAAAATATGGTGGGTATTACCATGTTTAACAAAAAGAAAAAAATGTGGGTACATTTATCTATTTAAACGAACCTTTAAAGCTTTATAGAAAGAGGTTCGGTTTTCGGTTCGGATCAAACATTTGTGGAAAATTTCTAGATCCGCCACTGAATTGTGGATATAATTTAGAAAAACTTAAAGAGTCACATGCAATTCACCGATGTATAGATAAAAATTCTTTAAATACTGTTTCAACATTAACATCCAGATTGCGATGAGTTTTGAGAAAAGCTAGCCCATTGTGTGTTCGTTCTCTGTCCATTTCTGTACATTAGTCTGCGCCTTAGTTGTATGGAGAAAATTTTGTCTTAAGCTACAAAGTAAGACTCCCCCTAGAAATGTTCCTAAAGTTCAGCATTTTCATGCAATTTTTCACAAAGCGGTCAAAATTGCCTATAAATCAGTGGCAAATTTAATATATTTTAATGGCACTTGATGTAGTTTTGCCCCCAATGTCAAATATGGCTAACGTATTTTTAAACCTCCCCAACTTTAAAAGTTATTGAGGTTTGTTCCACGTAAAATTACAATTCTTAGGAATTCAAAAGTTAAGTTTAAGCCAAATAAATTTAGGTCAAATTGGTACGAAGAAAATAAGTGTAGTAGCGAACTTTTGATTCAGTTTACTTCTATTCGACACGTAGATCATGGATCCACAGTATCAGCCCTAAATTTCATACCCGGACTTTCCGCTACCTTGCATTTTACGTTTTTTTTTGGGTTTTTGCGATTTACAAGCTTATTTTGCATTTTTCGTAAAAAAACGGATGTATACAAATTTGTAGAGAATTTTATTTCCCTCATTTTTGATATACAAACCTTTAAAAAAATCATTTCTTATTGTAAATAATTATCAAAGCGTGCAAAAAATGTTTGTATTGTCACGGTTTTCACCAATTTTCAACAATTTCTGACAAAAATGCGTAGTATAATCAAATGCCAAAGTTGTAGGGAGCTTTTATCTTTTAGTGTTGGGTTCTCCGGTGGCATAAAATTGGTAAAGCAAAAATGTAATTTACGGTTAGTTTAGATACCATATTTGACACGCCATATTGAATTTTTCAAAAGGCCTCACGGCCTTTTTCCAAAAAAAACTCAATAACTTTAAAAGATGGGGAGGTTTAAAAATACTGTAGCACTTTTTAACATCTGGGACAAAACTCAATCAAGTGCCATTAAAATATATTAAATTTCCCACTGATTATAGGCAAAAAATTTACTGCTTTGTGAAATATTCCACAAATTTGCTGAACTTTAGAGCCTTTGAGGCACGTCTTTCCGTTATCCGATTTAAAAAGTTTTTCGCAGGTCACATTTTTATGATCAAATGAACCTTTCTGGGGGAGTCTTGCTTTGTAGGACAAAGTTGCAAAATAAGGCGCACGCTACTGCAGATGCATGATGATGTTCATTGAATTATTTTGGAAAACTACCCTGCAGGGAAACCGCGGACTAGTGAATAAAATTTCTAGCTCCGTACTAGGCCTTTATCGCCAAAAAGGACCTAGTCCGACAGGAACTAGATCCCCACCAGTCCAAAATCGGTGAAAAGTGGTACTTTTAAAAAACAATTTTTTTCAGTTTTTTTTCACTAGAAATCTATATCTCAAGTGACGAATTTAGAAATGGTTCAGACCTATAGAAAAAGGGATGCAGAACGAACTACATCTTATTTGTCTAATTTAGAACTAGTTCGTAACTATCGAATAAGGGATGCAGCGGGAGGCTTGTTTACTTTACACAGATATGTGTTCGGTGGCTTTTTCGTTCAAATACGCTTCTATTCTGTGCTTCTCAGATGCTTTTTCATAGCTTGGTAATACAAAACTAAAATTTGTGGTAACATTTCAATATCTTGTGACCGTCTGTAATCTAAGAAATAACAGCGCAAACTCAGGTATAGCAAAGGTATGTAAACGTACATTTCTTACAATCATTCAAACAAATTTAATTTCAAATTGAAAACACATTTCTTCCAAAATAACTTAAAATCGCACACACGGAAGAGCAAAAAGATTGAAAAATCATGATACTTTTTTCTTTCGTCTGTCGATTTTGGAACTCGTTCGGAACTATAGAATTTAGGACTAGTTTTGAACTATCGAACAAGGGATGCAGCGGGGGGGCAATTGACACTTCCTAGGACATCGCCATGTTAAATTCGCCTCAGAACTAGAGGTTTTCCCCACAGGGTATAACTAAATAGGGGAGCGAAGGTTGTTATAGACCACATAAGGAAAAATTTCTGTAGAAAAAACCGAAATCTGAATCTTTACTAATTTTTTAATGGATAACACAGCACAACAAAAATATAAAAAAATTTTGGTACGGCAAATGTTAAAACTGTTTTTAATAGATTTTTTGTGCTGATTACGAATCCGTAAGCATAAAGTTTACATCAGCTCCAGATTAAGAAAAAAAACGAGGTCAAAGTGTCAAAAAATTGCGGTTTTCGCAAGCTCTAGCAAAGAAACAAAAGGTGATAGAACCTTCCTGGCTTAAATTAAACCTAGACCTCTCGACTACTATCTCTGAAAGGAGATCTTAAAATATTTTTTACCATTATTATCTTAAATAAAGTGATGAAAAATTTGTATGCATATTTCGCTCCTCAGGGGGACAACATTAACAGATCGAGATCGGCACTATCATAAACCCAAACAAAAAGCTCTTATCATTCGAAGATACTATATTGTACATTTACAAAGTAGTAGCAAATTTAATACTAAAATTCAATGAAAATTAAACAGGCCAAATTTTTTGCATATAAACCAGGGAAAACCGAGATATTTCGAGGCTCGTTCGGTACACCGGGACGAACAGTTTAAAACCGTAACGTATGGCAGCCCTATACTAAGGACATTAGCAATTAGTGACACACAGGGAAAGACATCAATGACACTTAAAGGTACTTACGCTCAAAACTTGTCAACGTCCACTCGTACATATGTATATATGTAATATGTGCCACCGCTCACGTGCATAAATGCATCAAAACAGTTAAAAGTTTGCCGATAAAATAACTTTTTTCTAGACCGTTGCTTTGATTGGAAGACAAAATTCACAATGGGTACCAATCACATTTCGGATGTCCTGGTCTCTCATGAATATATGACAATGGAGCAGCAACAGCACCAGCAACAGTACCAACAGCAGCATCAAATGCACCAACATCAGCTAAATGTCAGCATTACTTCCGAGAATCCACTATCACCAATTGACTTACAGGAGGGATCATCCAGACCGATACGCAGAACCAGCCAAAGGACCACTCAGGTAAAGCATCTATTTATAATATCTATGCATATAATAAAATTGTGACAGGCCGATGTCTGTATATTACAGATATAAAAGAAAAATTAATATGGGGGGTCTTTATTAGAGCAACAGATGCCAAATCAACAATTTTTTTAATTTTTGCCTGTCTGTTTGTATGTTTATACGCGCATCACTCGAAAACTAATACATGGAATCGTAAGTCTAACAAAAAAATAAATAGAGAGTTGCCACCTGTTTGGAAATAAGAGTTTAATAAATTGGTACGATGAACTAAATATTACAATATGGCTGCCACCTACTTGAAAAATAATATCCATTTAAATTTATAAACTAAATGAAATATTACAATACGGGTATTAAACTAAAGAGGTTTAGAAAGTTTACTGTCGAAAATATTTTGGAGTGGGTTGCAACCTACATACATATATATTGGAAATATTTAATTCATTTAAATTGATAAGATAAGGTACAATATTGAATTAGTACACATTTGAAGAAAATGCTCGATTTGCAGATTCGAGTTATAAAAACTTTATTTAAATTTCCAGGAGAAAAACGATACTTTACCTACCCTCTAAATTCGAAAACATATTAACTAGCACCCGAATTCATAATAAATATGTAAAGAATGCTTCATAAATGGAAAATTTGTTTGAAAGCTCACTTCATAAAGCTCTTTAAACCAATTTCATTTTTAAGAATGAGGCGAAAAGACTTTGGGAGGGAGTAGCAACACGAAAATACCTTTAAGGCAAAGTGAAGCACGGCGGGTATTTGCTAGTAATTTACTAAAAATTGGTATTTAAAAATATTATAAGCCAAGCTTCTTGCTGACGTCGGCATATTGAAAGACCTTATATAAACATAAAGCAGTCAACAATTTAGAAAAGAAAAATGTTCGTGCCGAGATATCGTTGGCGGTTTGTTATTTGCTGTACTAAAAATATTTTTTATTTTCATTTTTCCCCCAGCGTATAGTTTTGAATTTAACGTCAATTATGTACATATCGCCACCTTAATTCAAAAAGGCTCTAACCAAAACATTATAAAATGAGTGTCAAAATCAGGTAGGGCATGTAACTCCGCTGTTTTTGGTACTAAGACTTCAAAATTTTTATTGAAGGTGTATTTTAATACATGGAGGATGGTTCCGTGCGCAGAAATGGAAAACTTTTGACTGCCATTCACCTGGGAGTGGCCAGAAGTGATTCTTGCGCGTACGGTTCAAATCGCAGCCCACAACGTTCGGATATTTATATCCACGTATCCTCTGGGTATCAACCAAACTCCCGTTTGGGAGCGAGCTAAAGCGAGAAGGCGTAAAACTTCGCGTGCGTTGGGTTTGTGTCCCGCCAGGTTAAAACCCAGCCCAATGAAAAATTAAACAATCCCTGGATGAGACTCCTTTTTTTGATGACGACCACGGCAAATGTATAAAAGACTATAATTTGACGGTATGCAACTGGAATATCCGGACTCTTAATGGGGAAGGTGAGTCTGCCCGGCTGGTTGATGTCCTCGAGAAGACAAAGGCTGACATCACCGCCATCCAAGAAATGCGTTGGACGGGGCAAGGAAAAGTAAGTGTGAAGCCTTACGACATCTACTACAGTTGCCACGTAAAGTAGCGCAAATTTGGTAGGAGAGATTCCGTCGCCGAGTAGTGGCGTTCACCCCGGTGGACGAATATCGTGGAAAGCGTGGTGGAAAGCGAGATTCTTCAACATTGCGCTCATCTGCACCCATGCCCCGACGGAAGGACGAGGCGTGCAAGGATATCTTCTATGAGCGCTTGGAACGTACATACAAGCGTTGTCCCCGAAACGATGTCAAAATCGTGCTCGCCGATATTAATGTCAAGGGGGCAAGGAAGGTATCTTTGGTGCCACAGTCGGAAAATTCAGCCTCCACGACGAAATGTTCGATAACGGATTGAGGCTGATCGACTTCGCCCGGGTCGGAAACATGGTAACAGGAAGTACTAGGTTCCAGCATAAGAACATCCACCAAGTTACAAGGCTGTCTCCAAATCGAAATACGAGAAACCAAATCGAACATGTTGTGATAGACGGAAGGCATGCTTCCAGCGTTTAAGATGTACGTACACTACGAAGACCAAACGCCGACTCAGGCCATCTATCTTGTTGCACCCAATATACGCACCCACCTCTGTGCAGCAAAAAATGTGCGCCCAACAATGTAAGGAAAGCTTAACGTCGAACAGCTGCAATCACAACAGACGGCCAATTTCTTCGCCACTCGACTCACACATCTGCTCTCTGAGAGCACTCTTCAACAATCCGAAATACGCGAGCAGTGGAACCACATTTCACGATCATTAAGTACCGCCGCCGAAGAAGTAGTTGGATTTCAGCGAGCCCGAAAGAACAACTGGTGCAATGAGGAATGTCAAGAAGCCGCAGAAAAAAAAGTCGCCGCGTATAGGGCCATGCTGCGATCGAGCGCACCGCGACCCATGTGAGACCGTTATAGGGAACTGAAGAAGGAAGCGTGATGTATTAGCAGAAATAAGAAGTGAGGGCCCGAAATACGTGAGTGCGAAGAACTTGAAATGCTGGCCGACAGGAAGAACACCCGAAAATTTTACCAGAGGGTTAGGCGACTTACGGAAGGTTTCAAGACCAGGGCGAACTCCTGTAAGAACAACAATGGCGACCTAGTGACCGATGTCCAGAATGTACTTAAATTTCGGAGGGAACACTTTTCCATCCTACTGAATGGTAGCAGCTCCTAAAGTAGTGGAGAAAACGAACCCGAGTCCCCAGTCGATGACGATGGAGTCGTTGTCGCACTGCCTGACTATGACGAGGTACGAATAGCGATTACGCGGCTGAAAATCAGCAAAGCTGCTGGAGCTGACGGCCTGCCAGCCGAGCTATTCAAGTACGCGGCGAGGAGCTGATGAGGTGCATGGATCAGCTCTTATACAGAATATGGTCAATTTAGTTAATTTTTAATTTAATTTTTATTTAAGTGTGCTCTGCACAACCCACAGGAAACGCGACCCCGCCATTCGCTCCAACTACCGCGGAATCAGCCTTCTAAGCATAGGTTATAAGGTATTATCGAGTGTATTGTGCGAAAGACTGAAGTCCATCGTCAACGAACTGATTGGACCTTATCAGTGTGGCTTTAGGCCTGGCAAATCCACCATAGATCAGGTACTCATAATACGCCAAATCTTGGAAAAGACCCGCGAGTAATTGGCAAACACCATCTATTTGTCGATTTCAAAGCCGCTTTCGACAGCACGAAGAGAAGTTGCCTTTATGTCGCGATGTCTGAATTTGGTATCCACGCGAAAATAATACGCTGTTTAAAATGACGTTGAGTAACACCACCAGCTCCGCCAGAATAGGGAAGGACCTCCCGGAGCCATTTGATCCCAAACGAGGTTTCAAACAAGGTGACTCCCTCTCGTATGATTTCTTTAATCTGATGTTAATAATAAGATAATAAGGCCGCAGAACTGAACCGCCCAGGCACATTAATTTACATAAGCATACAATTGCTACCGTGCGCCGGACGCATCGATATTATCGGTAAAAACAATGGCTGTTCTGCCTTCTCGGGATTGGATAGAGAAGCAAAGCGAATGGGTCTGGTGGTGAACGATGACAAAACGAAGTATCTCCTGTCATTACACAAATAGTCAGAGCATACGCGTCTTGGCACCCACGTCACTGTTGACAGTTACAAGTTTGAAGAGGTAGACGACTTCGTTTATTTGGGAACCAGTAATAACACCAATAATAATGTCAGCCTTGAAATCCAACGGTGAATCACTCTTGCCAACAAATGCTAAATAATTTGGACTGAGTAGGCAATTGAGAAGTAAAGTCCTCTCACGTCGTACAAAGATCGCACTCTATAAGTCACTTATCATGCCTGCGCTGGAGTATGGCGCGGAGCCATGGACAATGAAAACATCTGATGAAGCGGCTCTTGGAGTTTTCGAGAGAAAGCTTTCAATTTCAATTTCAATTTATTTCAATTTGAAGCATTAGTACAATAAGATTCTCAAACATCTTTTTTAGTACAACAGGGAGGTATAACAACAGAAATTATAAATTAAACAATGAAATAGAGATATTAAACAAACAAAACAAATCCAAAAGGAAAAACAAACAAATTTAAAGGACTGGTACACCCTAAAAATTACGCAGACTCGTAGGTCAGCACAGAACTTAGTTAGTTTGAGATGGGTAATCAAGTTTTAGAAAAGTAATTATATAATACATTTGTAACGTAGCTTTGCCTACGCTACAATAACATATTCAACATCACCCTAGCATGCACCTTACAACTGCACATAGGTACAACTATATAAACATACATACATGCATACCCCTATGTGCATACATACGTATACACGAAGCTGGCATGGCAAGCGCGTACAAATTTCGCAAACACCAACTTAGCCAACCATGTGCACTAACATATGGAAGAAATGCGTTATGCAAAACACAAAATGCGGAATAAGCCCACTCACTTCTCAAACAGCTCATAACGGGTGATTTTTTAAGAGCTTGATACCTTTTTTTTTAAAAAAAACGCATAAAATTTGCAAAATCTCATCGGTTCTTTATTTGAAACGTTAGATTGGTCCATGACATTTACTTTTTGAAGATAATTTCATTTAAATGTTGACCGCGGCTGCGTCTTAGGTAGTCCATTCGGAAAGTCCAATTTTGGGCAACTTTTTCGAGCATTTCGGCCGGAATAGCCCGAATTTCTTCGGAAATGTTGTCTTCCAAAGCTGGAATAGTTGCTGGCTTATTTCTGTAGACTTTAGACTTGACGTAGCCCCACAAAAAATAGTCTAAAGGCGTCAAATCGCATGATCTTGGTGGCCAACTTACCGGTCCATTTCTTGAGATGAATTGTTCTCCGAAGTTTTCCCTCAAAATGGCCATAGAATCGCGAGCTGTGTGGCATGTAGCGCCATCTTGTTGAAACCACATGTCAACCAAGTT